TGCTTTACACAACTGATGTATGTATGGATTGTGGTAAGAGTTGTATGAGCCCCTAATAAAACAATTAATAACCAAAAAAAAGATGAAAAGACACTTTGCATTAGGGGAATCTGCTGCACAAGCCCTCTAGTGTGTTGAAGAGCAAGGATGTTGCTTTGAAGACTAAGGTGCGCCTGACCCGAGCCAGGGTGTTCTCTATTGCATCATCTACATGTGAAAATTGGACACTGAAGTAAGAAAGACTGACGAAGAGTCAAAGCATTCGACATGTGAGGCTAGAGAAGAATACTGAAAGCACCATGGACTGCTCAAAGAGCAAACAACATGTACGGGGAGAAAGCATATAGCCAGAGTGCTCCATGAAGCACGGATGGCAAGTCCTCGTCGTGTATTCTTTGGACATGTCATCAGGAGACACCAGCCCCTGGAGAAGGACATCATGCTTGGTAACACGTAGAGGCAGAGGAAAAGGGGATGGCCTTCAACAAGATGGATTGACACAATGGCTACAACAATGGGCTCGGGCCGGGAAACAATTGCGAGGATGGCACGGGAACAAGCAAAGCTTTGTTCTGTTGCACAGGGCCGACGTGGATCAGAGCCTACTCTGACTTTATAACTCAATGGCACCTAACAACAACAACAAAATCGTACCAAGGAATTTTTTTCCCATCCTAAAAATGGACCTGCTCATTCTTCAAGAATAGGTAGGGCTGTCCTACAAGAATTTCACTGGGAAACTTCACCCAGTTTACCACTGGGAACCTTTGCCGGTCCTGATTTGCCCAACAAACTTCTTTTTGTCCCACAAACTCAAAGGATATTAAAAGAAACAAATTTGAGTCCCTCGCATGTGCACACACTACACCACATTTTGACTTGATGTAAAACAATGCAGAACTCTTTGGGAAAGGGTTTGAGAGATCAGAACACCACCTTCTAAAGTATAAAGGTCTAGAGCAGTGGTTCCCAACCTTCCTAATGCCGCGACCCTTTCATACAGTTCCTCATGTGGTGGTGACCCCCAACCATAACAATTATTTTCGTTGATACTTCATCACTGTCATTTTGCTACTGTTATGAATTGGACAACCCCTGTGAAAGGGTCGTTCAACCCCCAAAGGGGTCGCAACCCACAGGTTTGAAAACTGCTGGTCTAGATGGAGATGATGAAGAAACCATAGTTTTACTTTGGGGGGTGGGGGGGGAACAATAGCTTCAAGTGTTGATATTTAAGATTTTGATGATTACGTAGTAATACCTTTGACTTACTCTTGTAAATCTAGTTATATCTACATTGAGAGATAGCTTTCAATTAATGTATTTATTCATCTGTTTTACATACCTTGGCTCTAACACGTTCCAAGTGAGAAAATTACTTTGGTTTTTACCTGAAGATGCTTGCAACAGAACCACCAATCCTGTCGGTCGGTCTTCAGAGGAGGGGCCACTCTGTCCGCAAATAACACAGTCATATATTGCCTCAGACACCTGTGGCTCTGCTGTGGTTATCTCCATAGGAATATCAGTCTCAGGAGAGTCTGAGAGGGAAAAAGTTAGAGCTCTTAATTCCTAAGGCTCTTCATTGAAAACTGATGGGAGGAGGAAGAGGGAATCAAGTTCAGATAATTTTGAACTACAATATTAATAAACTTATCTAGTAATAAAATTATAGGAAAACAGCTTGCTAAAATAAAAACTGAGAAAAATGCTCAACAAAAAGTGGAGTTGATATGCAGAAAGGCTTTAAAGAATATATGTTTAAATATAATTCCACCTCTTATCTGCTGCTTCCATGAACATGGATTGTGGAGCAAGTCCAACGAAACCCTTGACAACTTCAATCTTTCTCCCTTTAACATGATGTTGTTTAATGGCCAGTCATGTGGATCTTTGTTTCCTTTATGTTGCAGTGTAAAGTATATTGAAGGCTTTACTTTATCTTCATTTGTACATACTTCAAGTTCTCTTTGCTTTCAGGAAGCAAGGGTGTGTTATTTGCAAATCGAAGTTCTTAATAAACCTTCTTTGAATCCTAATGCCTCATTCTTCTCCAGATAGCACAGTGTCTCAGATTTTGCTAAGCATACAAATAAGCATGGCAAAAGGCGACAAACCCCAACATAAACCTTTCCTCATGCTTAACCACAAGATAGTCCCTTGTTCTGTTCCAGTCACTGCCTCTTGGTCCATGGACAAACTCTGCATGAGCACAATGCAGCCTTCTGGGATTTTCATTCTTCTCAATGTCTCCCTAGTTTGGTATGATCCACGCAGTCAGATGCCTTGCATAGTAAACACTACACAAGTTAACATCTTGGGGAATAGTCCACTGCAAAACAGTGGCACTGGGAAGTGGTTACTCTGCGCTTTCTGTGGCACAGAGGGTTTTCTCCACTGCACTCTTAAAATTGCATTCTGTCTGGTCTTAAGGGGACATAACATTAATATTTAACCATAACTGAGAAGCACTTGTTATTAGCCTTGTGAGTTGCTATTCATAGATTCGGCATACTACTTGAGCTTACTGTTTCCTGATAAGAAGTCTGACTGCCCTGTGACAACTGCCAATATTATAAAATTTCCATTGCACAAGATCATAAATTTGGGTAAGGATGCATTAGCATTGGCCTGAATGCACCATTTTTATCATTGCCATTTGTGCTCTTTCCTTATGTTTACTTTGTACCTAGAAAAATCCTCATTTTCTAAATAAAAGGTCAATTTAATAAATTTTAAGCTCATACAACTTTCCTCTAGTTCTTTAATGCTTCCCCCCACCCCCATAATGACCCCAATTCTACCGAACAATCCGGCTAGACCATGGCATGCACACTGCCACAGATCAGAGCTGGAAACACAGGGAGTCCAGGACAGAGAACCCCTCAGGACCAATCATGAGAATAGCCATACCAGAAGGGGAAGGGGAAGGTGGGGGGAGAAAGGGGGAACCAATCAAAATGATCTACATATAACCCCCTCCCAGAGAGGTGGACAATAGTAAAGTGGGTGAAAGGAGACCGGTCAGTGTAAGACATGAAAAAATAATAATTCATAAATTATCAAGGGTTCATGAGGGAGGGAGGGAGGGTGGGAAAAGGGAGGGAGAGGAAAAATGAGAAGCTGATACCAAAGACTCAAGTAGAAAGAAAATTTTTTGAAAATGATGATGGCAACAAATGTGCAAATGTGCTTGACACAATGGATGGATGGATGGATTGTGGTAAGAGCTCCACGAGGCCCCAATAAAATGATTTTTTTTTAAGTTTTACATTTCAGAAAATTTTATACATTCTCATACAACTCGTAGTGTTGTGGTGGCAAAAGCAGTCCTCCATCTGCCACAAATCAAGCCTTTTTTATCACACACTGTTGTTATGCAATCTTTCCAGAACTTCTAAACAAACATGATTAACTGTCTAACCTGGTGGAATGAACTCCAACCATTCGGGAAGTTGATGGAAGTCCAGGATGAGGTTTGTCATCAATCGACATTTCACCTTTCTTGAAATGAGAAAACCACTCACAGACTTGAGTTTTTCCCATAGTGCTGTCCTAAGCTGCACTCAACATTACAACAGTTTCTGCAGTATTTTTCCCGAGCAAGAAACAAAATTTCACAGCCACACACTGTTCTTGTAAATCGGCCATCAAAAAAACAAGGTTCGAGTGAAACTGCTTTTATGAAAAAAGTCAGTGACCAGAGAGAACCTTCCCAGGCAGTGCCAATGGGTGCACTAACGAGAGTGAGTAGCTCGATGCTCGCCTAGAGGGAAAATGTGTACCACGAAAGCTCCACTCAGCCCAGAACAATTCTGGTTTTTGGGGGGGTGTTTTTCATATTATTGATCGATTTTTAGTGATATGATATTGATATGTTTACTGAAGTCCTTATTTTCTTCAGATTTCCATACTTTTGCCTAATGTTAATTTTCTGTTCCAGGATCCAGTTCAGGATACCACGTTATAGTTACTGCGTCTCCTTAAGTTCCTCTGGACTGTAACCATTTTCTCAGATTTTCTCTTTTTCTAACTACCTGGACAACTTTGAAAGTGCTGGTGAGGCATTTAATAGAATATACTTCAATGCAAATCTGTCTGATGTTTGTCATGTTTGGTCTAGGGTCATGGACTTTTGGGAAGAAGACTGTAGGGGTAATTTCATCACATCATGCAAACACACCATCAACATAACTTCTCACTCAGTATTTTCTGACTAACTGGAGGAGGTTGTGTAAAATACTCTTTCCCCCTTTTTACATACTGTACTCATGGAAGGGGGTCATTATACTTAGTCATACGTACGGAGTGGGGGGTTATGCTTCACCTCCTTTATAGTGAACTGCCTACATAAATTACTTGCAATTCTTCTACATGAGAAATATGTTGTAAAGCCTCGCCTTTGTTACTCCACTAAACAACCTTCTGATGAGTCTAGGGAAGAAGACGGGGGAAGATACTGATTGGCTAATATGATACAGCTGTGTCATTATCATGATGGCTGGCATGTTTGAGTTCATCAACACTATTCTCTCAATCGGAGTCACCACGCATCTCCCATGCCTTCACTGGTCCTCTGTTTCCACCAATATGAAATTCTCCTCCAGCAGTTGATCATTCCTGATGAGTGCCTATTTTGTCTATCCAGGTAGAATGACCTGATCAGAGGGCTTCTCCTTTTTGTGTTTCAAGGATGACAGAAAATACGATGGCTTCTCAAACAAGCAAGTGATGCATAGCAGTTTATTAGTGCTGGTAAATAAAGTGGCTGGGAAGACTGACCCACAGGGCCAGGGTACGGGTAGCCAGGCTACATTCCAATTGTCCAGGAGGTCCCTCCGGTGAGGCGCACTCAGGGATGATTTGGAGTTCAGCCCTTCTTACATCAGAATTCAATCGTTATCAGGTGCATCTTTCACAGCCTGAGCGAAGCAGCTATTCTTGGGGCTTACCCATTTGGTGGAAGACACGTGCTCCATTGGGTATTTACATATCCGTTAGCAGTCAGGCCTTCAAAGCTAAATTGGGCTTTGTGACACACATCATTCCTCTGGCCTTGTGAGAGGCTTCCAATGCCACAATGACACATCATCCAAATGGAGGGCCATTTTCTAATCTTATGTGATCTCACAGTAACTAAAGCAAACATACCACACAATGTTCTGCTATGACTCATACAATTTTCGTTGGCTAATTTTTGTAAGTAGATTTCCAGGCCCTTCTTCTTAGTCTGTCTTATTCTGAAAGCTCTACTGAAGCCTGTCCACCATGGGTGACCCTGCTGGTTTCTGAAATAACAGTGGGAGCAACATACAAACTCCCATAGTATGACAAGCTGACAGTTGATGTGTATACGTGCTCATCTGCACCTATAATTAAGCATGAATTCACAATGATCTCTCCAATGCTAATCCGTTTGCAAACGGATCCCTATAGCCTTTCCCCCTACTTGTATATAACCCCCCACTCCTGCAGTAAGAAACCCGGTGCCTATTACCCACCAACCCTGGATGGATGTCAGTGGTTTCGAATCAAAGAGACTTTAGCAACTAGAGTGCAGTGCTTACGTACAGTTCCCTTCATCAGTCTGACTCGTTTCCGTGAGTGCTTACGTAGTTAGGGATCAAATGTCTGTTACTTCACGTGTTAGCAAATACAACACAATACAGGAGGGTCTACTGGTAGATGGGTGTTCACAGTACTGTTGTGTTTTGGGGTTTTTTCTTTTTTCAGGTTTTCTGTATGTTTGAAATTCTTTTCATAAAGAAAAATAGCAAGAACAAAACTATTTCATTCAGGTATATTTTAGCAAGGAACATTTTCATTTTAGTAAAAAGTGAATTTATATTATTTTAAGAAAAGATTTTAGGATATAGCCTAAACTAGGATGGTAGTAAAAATAATATTTTCTTATTTGTAATTATTTACATATTCTACGTTTCTACAAAATGCTAGAGGAGGGGAAGGAGGATAAAAGTAAATGTATAATCATAAGCCTCACAAATCTAAGAAGTTGTTTAATAGAAGAGAATACTATATTACTACCACCAGGAAAAACTTTCTGAAAATGGAAGCTACTCAACAGAGTGGACTGTCTAGCCTAAATCTGATTTCCTACTACTCTATTATTTAAATAAAGCCTAGAAATCATCAGTAATATTTAAAACTGGAAACTGATTGGACTATATCACTTTTTATGTCATTTTGAGAATTCTAAACTAATAATTTTTGACTTACCAACATCCATTGCCGTTTCCATGAAGCTTTTCTGTCTTGAAGCAAACTCCGCAAGCAATTTCTGCTGTCTCTCTCGCGCCTTTTGTCGTCTACATTAAACAGAAATACAGTGAGAATGAGCAGGCATGTTTAAGACTTACCCACCACCTTTCAGGAGTGCATATTCTATGAAAAGTCTTTGGAACACAGTTGAGAGCTGTCTGGTTTCTGTGGTATGTATGAAGTTTCATATTAAGATTTTACTGTCCTTAAAAGAATTCTAAAGAGCCCTGGTGGCATAATGGGCTATATGTTGGGTTGCTAACCACAAGGCCAGATGTTTAAACCCACCAGCTGATCCTTAGGAGAAAGACGAGGCTTTCTGTTCCTGTAAAAATTGACATCCTGAAAACCACAGGCAGCTCTAATCTGTCTATAGGGTTGCTATCAGTCAGAATCGACTCAATGGAAGTGAGTTTGGGGTTTTGGGAGAAAGATTCTGTTTTCAGAAATGTTTGAAATTCACTAACTTAGCAAGTAAAAATAAAATCCAAGATTTAACTGTAAAATGTGAATAATTGAATATTTAAGTTCCACATGATTTTCTAAGAATATGTTTGTTGGTTACAAGAATAAGAAGGGTATATTTTAGCAAGGAACAACAGCAAATTTCTTGCCAGAAGATATGTTTACATATGAATAAACTCCAGAAGACTTGTCAGATTTACTATTACCCTAACAGATTTACTGTTACTATTGCTGTTACACTAAGATTTATTACTCCATTACTAGCAGAAGCTAAGGAGTTAACCAGCTCTACTAGATTTTCCCAATTTAATTAATTTTATTTGAAATCAAGAGTCTGAAGCTCCCAAATCTCATATACAGAATAAACTACTCTATTTATTTAAGGAGTCCTAGTGATGTTGCAGTTAAGTATTGGACATCTAACCCCAAGGTCAGCAGTTCAAACCTACCAGCTGCTCCAAGGGAGAAAGATGAGTCTATCTGCTCCCATAAAGATTTACAACCTCAGAAACCTTATATGGGAACCCTATGAGTCATTACTGACTCAATGAAAGTGATGCTTTTGGATTGATTATTTATCCCTAATCTACTTCCAACATAGATCTAATTTTTAAAGTTAGTGGCCTTAAAACAGGACAATGTGTAGGAGCAGAAAAATAAAAGTAAATTAATAAAAGAGGGCATGTTAAGGATGGATACTTCCTAGACATAACCAAATACCTCGCAGGATTTGGGTTACTGGGTTTGAGGTGTTAAGGCCATAGTGTCTAGGGGAAACTCAGTCAAGTGGTATAATAAGACAGCTCATACTGATAGTGCCTAGCACCTCCATCTTAAACGTTTGTGTGCAGCCTCTAAAATATACCAATTTGTCTCTACATGTCTAGAGCTAAAGAGAAAGACAACAAAGACTCAAGGAAGTAACCCTCAGAACTAATAGTCCACCTGAATCACAGCCTCATCTTCCTTGACATCAGAACTAAAAGGTGTCCAGCCACCATTACCAACCAACCATTCCAACCAAAGACACATCGCTAGTCTTGGAGAGAATGAGGAAAACTGTAAAACCAAACTTAAATTCCTAAAAAAAAGTCCAGACAGTGGACCAGTAAAGAATATATAGGAACACTTGAGGTCACTTAGCAGTCAATGGACAGGGCGACTAATAAAATAAATAATATCACCCAAGAGTACTATAAACCTCTAAATAAGCGGTTCTCAACCCATGAGTCGCAACCCCTTTGTGGGGTCTAATGACCCTTTCACTGGGGTCGCTGAAGACCATCGGAAAACATATTTCCAAGAAGGTAGGTTGGCGGGATGGATGGATGGATGGATGGATGGATGGATGGATGGATGGATAGATGATAGATAGATAGATAGATAGATAGATAGATAGATAGATAGAAAGAATGATAGATTAATGGAAATAGAACCACCAGAAAGAAAATAATAAGCTATACCACCAAAATATATGCATCTCACTGCCATCAAGCTGATTCCTACTTGGCCCTACATGCAGACATTGTTAAATGAGAACCTAATTTGCAGTGTAATTTTTTTCCCAAAACCACATTAAAATATTTTTAAGTAAACTGAGAAAAGAAGGGCAACGGGCTTCCCTGGGTTATAAGACGCTAACAATACCAATGAGCACAAAGTTCTACCCTGGCAGAAAAGGTTAAAAGAAGGTAAGGAAAAGAAAAAGAAAGGTTTAAAAATGAGTAATATATCATTTCATCAGAAGAGACAAAGTTTTTACCTGGACAAAACTCAAGGAAGAATTTATCACAGCCCACAATACAAAGAGTTATTAAAAACTTAATGGGTATACTCTAGGAGTTTCTCTTTATATATATCAACATACTATAAAAGTCAAAACATTATTTCAAACTGAGATTGTATGAAGTTGTTACAATAGAAAATCTAAAAGTATCTTTCTATTACTGAGGTGACTCAAGACTACAGCAATATAAACCCTAGTAGAATAGAGGTGAACAGTGATTTTTAGATTATGTATACGACTCCCTCCAATAAGTGGAGATAACCATGAATAGGCAAGGCACAACTATAAAGTTGTGTACTATGGTACACTTAGCATGTAAGTTACATATTCATGTCAATAACCTTCAAAAAAACTTCGCACATTCACTTGTTATGCATTCACTTAACTGAGACGTTACGATCCACATAAGAAGACTTATTTTATTATAACATCTCTTATGTTTTATATTGTTTCTGAGTACTATACTATCTAAATCTTATTAAACTTAACTCTCTATAACATTGACACGGAATTGGCAGAAGATCGAGTCTGCTTCAGAAGAACAGGGGATATCATACCTGATGTCAGATGGCTCTTGGCTCAAAGCAGAGAATATCAGAAAGATATTTACTTGTGTTTCAATGACTATGCAAAGGTAACCAACTGTGTGGACCAAAATAAAATGTGGATTACCTTGAGAAAAATAAGAACTCCAGAACACTTCATTGTGCTCATGAGGAACGTGTACATTGATCAAGAGGGAGTTGTGCAAACAGAAGAAGGGCATACTGCATGGTTTAAAATCACAAAAAGGTGTGCGTCAGGGTTGTATCCTCCCACCATATTTGTTCAATCTGTATACTGAGAAAATCACTAAAGAAGCTAGATTACATGAAGAAAAATGTGGCATCAAAATTGGAGGAAGGCTTAATAACAACCTGAAATATGCAGATGGCACAACCTTGCTTGCTGAAAGTGAGGAGGATTTGAGGCACTTGCTGATGAAGATCAAGCATTGTAGCCTTCAGTTTTGATTACAACTCAATGGAAAGAATCCTCACAACTGGACCAATATGTCACATCATGATAAATGGAGAAAAGGTTGAAGTTGTTGAGGAATTGATCTGGCTTGGATCCACAATCCTATCAAGTGGGGCTGCCAATCTTAAATAAGATTTTGCAGCATTTAACAATCTTGATAAATTCTTTTCTTTATGAACCTCCTCTTATGCCTTCTCTAACGATACCACCTCCCCCCTCCAGTTTTCCTTCCAGCCATAGGAGCTGGAAGAGGTCTGAAGTGTCCCCCATCCAGGGTTCTCTACATCTAATTCTAAACCCCCTCCTCTATGCCCTTACATAGGTAAAAAGGACTATCACCCAAATCAGAAATCTGGAAATCATCTGATTTCTTCTCCCTGATGGTTCACATCAAATTGATCACCAAAGTCTTTAACATGTACCTGCTAGCCACCTCACATGTATCTCCTCCCTCTTTACTAGCACTGCTTTAGTTCAAATTCTCACCCTCCCCTAAATTCCTAAATAATCTGTTTGCCTAGTTTCCAGCCTTAGCCCACTCTAATTTCTCTGCATGTAAATACACTGCATATTATTTATTTCCCTACTTAAAATCTTTCAATGGCTCCCAATAGCCTTTCATTCACTCAGTGCCAGTTAAATGCTATATAGTTGTCTTCTTAGCTGTATCTTCTGCTATTCCCAACAGTACCCTAAGCATCTAATGCAGTGTTTGTTACACTAGCAACTGTTTACTGTCTGTCTCCCACTACATTATCAAGCCCCTGAGGCCAACGAGCCCAGCGTCATCTACAGAAGTGCTTGGCTGGTGCCCAATAAATGTAGACTGGGATTAACACAGTGAGGTTCATCTTAAGATCATTTAGCGATAAGACTGCCTCTATTCAAAAATAAGATGGATTAAAATGCTCCCAAAAATATCTATAAAATACACTTCAAAGCTAACTGTTATATATGGAATTATTATTTTGAGAATGATGGCAACAAATGTATAAATGTGCTTGACACAATGGATGGATGGATGGATTGTGATGAGTTGTATGTGCCCCCAATAAAATGATTAAAAATATATATGGAATTATTCATACAGCTCACAATGGCAGTTAAGGTAACCATGCTTACTGTTTTTCTCTATAATTTATATTTCTTAGAATAATACTGAGATGATCCTTTGGACTTATTAATAGGAGACATGTATGCATTTACACAAAACTGTTGCTTTAGTAGAGAAATTCATCTTAAATATTAAATCAAATCCATGAATATTATTCATAACCTCTTGGAATTATACAAGGACTATTTGAGTCTCATCTTAAGACTGACTTTGTCCGAGAAGCTGGGGACAATGCAATGGTACAGCTCTCTGGGAAACAATGTATGCCGAGAGGCACGGATGTTCATAGCCACAAATCTCACTTCCAAAAAAACTTTGTCCCAAGAAAGAAAGTAAAAAAGTATGGGGGGGGGATGAGATTGTTATATATATTATAATTTAGGAACTGACCAGAAGCTCAGAAATTACAGGAATACATTCACTAGGTGAATTTTTTAATAATTAGAAATTATACATTGATAAAGGTTAAAAAGGATCATAATGAACTTAAACAGATTTTTATTTTGCAAAAGATGTTATATACCTAACAATTTTCTTCTGTTCTCATTTAAAGTTGAATTAATAATAATGTTTTAAAATAGCAAGAGAATTATTTGATCCCAATAGCAGTAACAATAGTAGCATTTTTCCCCCAAAGGGACCTTCAAGTTTAAGGCAGTCATTTAATATGGGCATTAGAAATTCTAGTCACCCACACTCAGCATACTGCATGCACCAGTATGTGTTCAGTTCCAGATGCCTTAGAAACTAGCCAGCTAGGACTATATATAGCTAACAAATATCTAGGTGATTAGCTCAATGACCAAAAAAGAAAATACCACATCATGCGTAGAACATCACAAAGGAAATTACCTTTCTTCTTTGTCCAGTGTCTTCTTCTCTGCCGCAGGGGTTTTTTTTGGTGGCACAGGAGGGGTCACCTTCCTACATATCTCTTCAATGATGCGCTTGTTCATTTTGCTGTGCAGTGCAGCTTTCAGTAAAATTCTTTCTACTGCAGTGATACCATCGCCATGATTGTATTTAGGAATTTCTGGTTGGATTAAAATTTCTACATTATCTAGCCAAGGTGGATAGTAGGAGTTTTGTTTTCCTGAGAGTTTGTGATGAAGTTTAATTAGCAAAGACAATATGCTTTCTTTGATTTCCAAAATGGCAGTAGTTAGCTGTGGAGCTGAACCGGAAGCAGACCATTTACTGGATGTTTTGGGACGAACCATCTGATTTGCTTCACTGCTATTTCGATTGATGATCTCCTGAAATTTCTTTCGACGCTCTGCTACCAAGCTGAAAACTTGAGCTGTGCCAGAATTCTACCATTAAAAAGAGAGAAAGAAGGGAAAAATCAAGAGAAATCAGTCAGCACCAATTTTGAGAACACTTTTAGCACCACATTTTCCAAAGGAAATGCCAGTTTCATAAAATATTTATTTAATATTTTTAAGATCTTACTTCTGGTCACACTTTCTTAAATTCCCAAGAAATTTAACTTAATTTCAAACTTAAATGGACCCAGTAAAAACAAAACAACACATGATCAAGCCAAGTTTTTTAAAGAAAATATGCTAAATATTTATTTTTATATTATAAGGTAGAAATTGTTTCTGTCAATATTTTTTTTCCTTTGAAATAAATCTGTCCCGTGCTTGCTTCAGCAGCACATATATTGAAATAAATCTGCCCCTTCACCTCTTTTTCTCAAATCTACGTGATCCCATTCAACCTGAAAACAGCAATGAGAAGATAGAGGAATACCATCCATAATACCTTTTCTCAACTTCCCTGATGTATCTAGCAGGGAAAATAAGGAAGCGTGGGGCTATCTCTAGGCATTTGAAAGAGAAACCTAAACTAGTTCCTTCCCTAGTTAAAGAAAGAAAAGTTGCTTCATGCAACATCATCAAGATTACTGCGCTCTTTAATAATTTCTTCAGGATTGCTATATTCTCCAGTTAACAAAGTTTGTGAATTACTTATCAAATGTTAATTTGAGCTCATAATTAAGTTTATTTTTGAAAAACTTTAAATATTTGATAATTACTTCTAACATAAACGCTTAAAGTTACTAACCTGAAACAGGATAAAAAAATCAAATTAATCTTTTTCATATTTGAATGTCACTGTTAACTGTTATTTGAATACAGTTTAAACTATTTTCCTCAATAATTTATCTTCTAAGTAGCCTTTCTATTAAAGCCATCAAACGGAATAAGGGATCTTAGAAATCCTATTTTAATTAAGATATGAGTTGGTTTAATTTTATTAATTTTTTAAGCTACCATAGAAATGATATCAAAATATCAATTGAGTTTTTAGGAGCCAAATTATACTATGCATCAATTTTTTAACATCTGATCTTTTTTTTTAAAGCTTTGTACTTGCATTACAAGAAAAAGCTGCCTCTTATAAACATTCCGAGATTGTCATCAAAACATCTTGTAATGCTCAAAGCAAAGCTTGCTGTCAGAGGCACAGAAAACTCTGGGCACGGACTGAACTTTATACATAATGTCAGATTCAATGCTCTCTACTCACAAAATCTAGGTTGTTGAGACTGGAAGTGCTTAAATTTAGTTATCTGGCATGTCTTCAAGAGTCTTCATTTCTGATTTAAAAACAATTAAGCTACATGCAACGAGAGAGCTGATTTTCAAACTGAATTCAAATGCACACTATGCACAATTTAATATTTTCATGGGTTTATTTTATCAAAATTAATTGTCATGAAAGCAAAAAATATTAATATTTATAAATGGCCATGCTGCCATCAATTAACAATTAAACTTACTCTCATTGAGAAAACAGTCATTTTAAGATGTTAGTAATATAGCTGCAATGGCACATGTAAATAGACCTAAATGTCCAATCTACATAACCAGTACAAAATATTGCTAGCACTAACAGAAAATATCTACATTAAATATACAATATTGCTTAAAGTTCAACATGAATTCTGAAAAATTAAGCTAATAACACTTTATCCAAAAAAAACCAAACACACTCACACACATTAAAGACACGTAATCATATTAATTAAACACACATAATATAAACACAAATACATCTAAATGTTTTTTTCTTATTTCCAGTCAAAGCCATGTCGCTAGTTAATGCAAATATCATACACATCTACCTCTCTTTGAAGAACTTTAGGTCGTCGTGAACTCTGGCAGATTAAAGAGGAAAAGACTAGTGAGACAGAAGCTGTTCAGATATAGAGAAAATATCACGAAAAATCATCTACAATTTTTTCTTTTAGGCATCACAGGATGATCTTAATAATATATTTCAGCATCACATAAAGCAGTCCACTTTATTCCTCCCTTTTCTCTGTCTTCAACTTACTTGTAAAGAGCCCAAGCTATCAGAGCTAGTACTTGCAGGTGAGTCTCTCTTCACCTCAGGTGCTGTCTCGGGGACTCTGACTCGAACATAACTTATAAAGTGTCGCATGTTCGATACTAAATTACTTCCAGGAAACCAGCTGTCATGGCAACGCTCTGGTCCACCCACTGGTGCCTGTAACATAAAAATAATGAGCATCAAACCTTGTCAGGTCAGGTCTCAGGTACAGTGGAGAGGTAACATGAACAATAATCACCCACTCAAAATACTGTCAAATATCAACTAATTTAAATTAATTCTGAAAGTCTGAAAAACCAACCAGCATAAGCTAGTCTTACAAGAACCTTGGCAACCTTTCAATATCTTTGCTGATTCAGTTAGGTCTACAAAATACTGATTCACCTTCTTATAGGTTTGTGTGCTATTACAGTATTCTGCTGCATTTTATCATTTTGAAGGGAAGGTCTGAGAAGTTTACAAAAATAATCTGCAGTAACAATTACTTTTATGGAAATAATATTTCTAAAGCCTGAAGTCCACATTAACAACTTCTATACATAAGGACTTCAAATATTCTCCCACATAATATTTACTCCATTAAATTATAATTGTTACATAAAGAATTTGCTACTCAAAAATAACAGAATTTCTAGACCGAAGTCCTAGCTTAACAATTGCTTACTGGCATTTAAACCTTTTAGCACAATATCAAAAATATATTAACTGCTTTATAAATTTTTGTAATGCTATGAACTTATAATCCAAATTATAAACCAGAGCAATATCAAAAAGTCAATACGAATTTGAAGCTCAAAGGGGACTTTCAGTAATTTCTTTAAAAATCTTTTTAAAATTTAAAAATGAGTACGATGAGTCTATAAGTACACTTCACTACATACTACCTTTACTAAGGCATATCTTAACATTATCATTTAAAAATGATTAAAAATTTTTTTAATTAAAGAAAACTACTTACCTCTTCATCTGACTCTTCCTCTGGAGAACTTTCAAGTCCTAATTCAATCAGATATAAAACCATGCAGAGGACATGTTCCGACAGATTTTGATGCTCCATCAAAATCTTTAAAAGGGGGGGGAAAACACCTCAATTTTCCACAAAATAGATTTCATTTAAAAGTCTATTTGTAAATGTTATAAGCTAAAATAGTATAATCAGATGTATAAAAATGAAACATGACCAGATATACAAGTAACACTGTATCTTAGTGCGCAGGCCAACTAAACAAACAACAAAAGAAAAGTGGTTCCCAAGATCACATACTATTTTAAACAATAGCTAGAAATACTAAGCTTAAATATTTACTAAAAGTTAGCACATTACATAGTGCACTAAAACTCTCAGTAACAAATGTACCAGCATTTAATACAATAATTTAGCAAGAACATATTAAAGTCCAATTTGCTGATAACTCTTCTAATGACAAGGTTGCCAGATAAATGAACCTGTTTTTATATACCAGTCAGATTTTATATAGGGCTAATACAAGCCCTACAAATCTTACATCTCGCACAGACTTTCAGGGTTACCTAGACCAATCACTTATTCAATATAACAGGTCCCTATCACTAAGCCACCACCAGCCCACCCCACTGCCACCGAGTGCATTACAGCTCATAGCATCTCTACAGGGCAGAACCGCTCTTTTGTGTTTCTGAAGCTGTAAATCTCTACAGGAACAGAAAGTCTTATCTTCCTCCTGCAGAGTGGCTGATGAGCGCAAACTACTGATCTTGTCCAACACATACCAAACCATGCCATCAGGTGTCATTCGCTAACCAAAAGATAGCTAAAATACTGCGTGGAAAAACTGCCTGCCAGCTTGTATCATTACCAAGAAACAGCTAACAAAATAAGGAAAGGAATGAGAGGGCTAGGTTCGGTGGAACGCGGCAGTGTCAGCTGTGGGCAAGATAGCAGAGTCGAGGAAAAAGACCGGTTCGGATGGCCTAATAAACTTCCCACATGGCTGAAGAGGCTAGGCAAGTGACTCTGCGCACTAAGTCACCAGCCTGACTCTACTGTGAGTAAACATGGAACTTCACTCACTCACGCTCTAACTTTTATTTGGGCTACTAAGAAGGCTTCCATTCATCTATTATGGGGCCAATAGTGAGAAATGTATCCTTTGAAACTTTTTCTTAAAAGCCTGATTGTTTTAACATGAGCTCTGTCTATATACCTAACTATTTGACCTGAAACAGATTCTGGCCTGAATTTCCTCATCTCGAGATCTGTACCACCACTGGTCTGTCAGTGTATGGTGGCGCCCTGTATGTTGCTGTGATGTTGAGAGCTATGTCGATGGTATTTCTAATACCAGCAGGGAGGGCCCTGCGCTCGTCGGCCATGCAATGGGCACCCGCAAAAAGGAGTACAACTACCTCTTCAAAGGTGTCTTTATTGGAGTTTCTGGTGTTGGAAACAGTAATCTCCTGTCTCGATTGACTCAAAACGAGTTTAATCTGGAGAGCTAGAGCACCACTGGAGTAGAGTTTGCAACAAGAAGCATCCGGGTTGATGGAAAACAATAAAGGCACAGATACGGGGCACAGCAGGGCAAGAACGAACCTGAGCTATAACATCTGCATTCTATCATGGAGCTAAAGGTGCCTTGTTGGTTTATGACATTGTTAAACATCTCACATGTGAAAATGTAGAATGGTGGCTAAAAGAACTGAGGGATCACGCTGATAGGAACATTGCTGTCATGCTTGTGGGCAATAAGAGTGATTTACGTCATCTCAGAGCAGTCCCTACTGAAGCAGCAAGGGCTTTTGCAGAAAAGAAAGATTTGTCATTCATCGGACTTCTGCTCTAGACTCTAGAAGTGTAGAAGCTGCTTTCCAAACACTCCTGACAGAGATACACCACACAGTTTCTCAGAAGCAAGTGCCAAACCGACACGAAAATGACATGTCCCCAGAGAAACACTGGGGTCCCTATTCATGTTCCACCAACCACTGACAATAAGCCAAACGTGCAGTGCTGCCACAACATCGAAGGCATTTCTCTTTTCCCTAGATGGCTGTGTATGGTCCACTTCCCAGGTCTGAGATTTAAATATATTTATAATTCTTGTGGTCACTTTGTGTTTTATTACTGCCTCATATTTATGCATTTTTTCATGTCTTAAGTCTTTGATTTTAGCTTTATAAAATAATCCATTTGTCCCAAATGACTGCAGCTGTTCTTCATGCAATGGCCTCACTAGCCTTAGTTTCATACACTGAACGTTTGAATTCCTCAGTTATTGTTTACTTTTCACCATGATAGCCTCTCATGATCAAAGCAGAACTTGAGCACTTTAAGTGCAGCCCTATTGGTCTTGATCAAATCAAACTAAGATGACATTTAAAAATCAGCTGTTATTTTACTACAGTGACTTATAATTAATACACATCTCTCTCTGCGCAGCACATATTCTCCCAGATCTAAGATTTTTCCTTTAAGCATAGCAGGATTGTGAGAACTAGGAATATTTCCCTTATTCTAGAAGTTACTTTCCAAAATGCCTTAATAGGTCCTGGAGGGTCTTCTCCCACAGGCATTATTACATCTACATTATTATGCAATTAAGTAGAACACTGTCAGAGATAGTGCCACAAAATGAGCCCCTCGGGTCAAAAGATATTGAAAATATGACTGAGGAAGAGTTGCCATCTCAAAGTAGAGTTGATCATAATAACGCATACAAGACAATCCGATCAATACTATTATTCAAATTTATGCACCCACTACTAAGTTTTTGATGCAGAAGTTGAAGAATTCTGTCAATGTCTTCAGTTTGAAATTGATCAAACATGCAATCAAGATGCATTGATAATTACTAGCAGTTGGAATGCAAAAGTAGGAAAGAGGAAGGAATAGTAGTTGGAAAATATGGCCTTGGTGATAGAAAAGAAACCAGGGGTGACATAATAATTTTGCAAGACCAGCAACTTGTTCACAGCAAATACCTATGTGGGAGAAAGAAGGGGCTTTTGACTCCTATAAAGGGTCACAGTTTTGGGAATTCACAGGGGCAGTTCTACCCTGTCCTATCCAGTGACAATGAGTCGGCATCTACTCAATGACAGTGAGAGAGTACCAACATCTTCAGTCTGAAATTGATCCAACATTCAATCAAGATGCATTGAAAATTATTGGCAACTAGAATGCCAAATCTGGAAACAAAGAGGACAGTACAATGGTCAGAAAATATGGTCTTGATGATAGAAACGATGCTGGAGACCACATGATAGAATTTTGCAAGACCAACAACTTCTTCACAGCAAATAGCTTTACTCAACAACAGAAAAGGTGCCTGACTGTACATGTGGATTTCTCCAGATGGGATACACAGAAAATAAATTAACTACATCTGTGGGAAGCTCAGTATCAGCAGCTAAAATCAAGTCAGGGGTCTACTGTGGAACAGACAAACAATTGCTCATATGTAAGTTCAAGGTGAAGTTGAAGAACATTCAAACAAGTCCATGAGAACCAAAACATGCACTTGAGTCTATCCCACCTGAATTTCGAAAGCATCTCAAGGAAAGATTTGATGCATTAAACCCTAATGACAGAAGACCCGATGAACTGTGGGATGACGTCAACAACACCAAACATGAAGAAAGCAAACGGTTATTTAAAAGACAAGAAAAAAGAAAATATCAAAATAAATGTCAGAAGAGACTCTGAAACGTCTTGATTGTAGAGTAGCTGGAGCAACTGAAAGGAATTGTGAAGTAAAATGTTACAATCAAATGTGCAAAGACCTAGAGTTAGAAAACCAAAATAGAACATGCTCGGCACATCTTAAACTTAAAGAACTCAAGAAAAAAACCAAGCCACGAGTTGCAATCTTAAAAGATTCTACAGGCAAAATAGTAAATGCTAATCAAAAGAAGATGGATAGAATATAGAGCCACTGTACCAAAAAGAACCAGTCGACTTTCAATCATTTCAAGAGGCAGCATAAGAGCAAGAACCACAAGTTCTAAAGGAAGAAGTCCAAGCTACATTGAGAATATGAGACTAAAAGAGGGTCCAGAAATTGATGGCATACCAAATGAAAATGACTATCAACTAAAATGTTTCAACAAGCTGATGAAGCACTCATTCATCTATGCCAAGAAATTTGGGAGACAGCTCCTTGGCAAACTGAGATCCATATATGTACCCACCCCAAAGAAAGGTGATTCCATAGAATGCACAACTTATAAAACAATATCATTGATATTATATGCAAGTAAATTTTTGCGGAAGATAATCTAACAATGATTGTAGCAACAAATTGACAAGGAACTGCCAGAGGTTTGGGCCAGATTCAGAAGAGAACCGGAAGAAGAGATATCATATCATTACTCATGTCAGATGGATCTTGGCTGAAAGTAGAAATGCCAGAAAAAATGTTTACTTGTGTTTTTTATTCACTATGCCAAGGCATCCGACTGCGTGGATCACTACAAATTATGGATAGCCTTGAGAAGAATAGTAATTCCAGAACACTTCATTGTGCTCATGGAGAACTTGCACATGGATCAAGAGGTAGTTGTGCAAATAAAACAAAGAAATGCTGCCTGGTTTAATATCATGAAAGGTGTGTGTCATGGTTGTATCTTCTCCATATTGATTGTGATAGTTATTTAATCTGTTGCCAACTTGAGACCATTAAGAGTGAAGTATAGTACAGGCAGAGTATAGCCTATCAAACAGGTCACACAGCTTGATGACCTCATTTGGAGGTGCTAAGGAGATAAATAGCTCACTGGAGACAGGACAGACAGAAACTCCCTGCTAGGCATTCCTGATGACAAGACACATGGAGCTATGCTAGAGCCCTGGAGCTGAAGGAGCCACGTGGAGACCCCATGCCTCCACTGCCACTGAATCCACAAGGTTTTCCACCCACTGTCCTATGATCTTCCTGCATTTGGTGTCATTGCGCGTGTTATGTGAGTCTGAAGAGGAATTTATAGATCGGTATTGGACATCTGGGCTAATACGGGACTTATGAACTTGATCTGGACTGGGCTGGGATGTTTCTCAATATACAATTGCTCTTTCATATAAAGTTCTTTCTTATACACATACGAATTTGTTTCTCTAGTCAACCCAGACTAACACATTGATTCTATCTATATGCTGAGCAAATAACCAGAGATGCTCGATTAAATGAAGAATGCATTATCAGGATTGGAGAAAGGTTTATTAGCAACTTACGGTATGTAGCTAATACAACCTTGCTTGTTGAATGTGAGCAAGACTTGAAGCACTTGCTGATGGAAGATCGAGGACTGCAGTCTTCACTATGGACTACAACTCAATGTAAAGAACACAAAAATCCTCAGAACTGGACCAATAGGTAACATCATAATAAATGGAAAAATATTGATGTTGAATTTAATATTGCTTGGCTCCACAATCAATCAATGTTCATGGAAGCAGCAGTCAAGAGATCAAATGGCTCATTGCATTAGGTAATTCTGCTCTACAAGACCTCTTTTTAAAGTGTTGAAAAGCAAGGATGTTATTTTGAGGACTGAGATGCACTTGACCCAAGCCATGGTATTTTCATTCTCCTCATATACATGTGAAAGTTGGGACACAAAATAAGGAAGATGAAAAAAATCAAACTATCTGAACTATGGTATTGACAAAGAATACTGAAAAGTACCATGGACTGCCAAAAAGAACAGGCAGATCTGTCTTGGGAGAAGTACAGTCAGAACGCTCCTTAGAGGCAAAGATGGGAAACATCATCTGAAGCACTTTGTACATGTTGTCAAGAGAGACCAATCCCTGGTGAAGCACATCGTGTTTGCTAAAATGGACGGGTAGCGAAAAAGAGAGAGGGATTCAACAATGGGTTCAAGCAAGAGAACTTTTTTGAGGATGATATAGAACCAGGCAGTGTTTCATTCTGTTGTACATAGGATCACAGTGTGTCAAAACCAACTCGACAACAACAACTAAAACTGGAGTAATAGTTGAGAATGGTGATTCAGATCACATGGACTGATATCTGTAAATTTCTTAGTATAATATCAAGCAAGTAGTGTTCAACAAGTAGTATGTGAAGCTGCTGGTGTGAGCACCAGGAGCACTCATGGGAGGAGACTGAAGCCTGGGAGGCGAAAGAGGTATGTACCTAATCTACTACCTCATAGAGAGGGAACCAAGGCTGAGGAACACACGCAGCTAACACCAGCATCATCAGAGTACAGATTTCAGACTCCAAGGTCATTATCCTTGTATCATACTATACTTTATGCAGCTTTATCAGCTAAAGTTAATATTTTTACTTGGAACCTTGTGACATGACAGCTCCAGCTGAGTGACTTAAAACAAACAAAAAAAATCACTTAATTAGAAGCTGTAAAAAAAATTTTTTTTTTTAACAATTTCACAAGGGGCTTTTATCATGTTCTGCATTACATGGTTCTTTAATATTAAACATGGCAAGGGATCAAGGTGGTTTACTGAAATGGATTTTTAGAAAAAATTTGGCTCAATAAGATTAAGCAAATCCAATATCATTTAAATACTAGATCGTATATAGCTCTGTTATTATATATCTACCATATATACTTGAGTATAAGTCTACCCGAATATCAACCGAGCCACCTAATTCTCCACATTAAAAATGTGCTGAAAAATTCAGCTTATACTCGAGTATATACAGTATACACACATAATCCATAACATTTCATACAATTTTTGTTAGCCAAATAAATTAATCATTTCTATTTGAGAAAACCCCAGAATAAAAAAAACATCATTCTTATATTAACAATAAAAAACAAGAAATAAAAGCATCACCCAGGTGGAGTCCACTCAAATCCCCCAAACATTACAATCCTACTCAAAGGAAAACAGCAAGAGCAACTCTAAACTATGGGCTACCTGCCCCTATGGTTCCCATCTTAGTTTGTCATTTTTAATAAGGTTCTGCTCAGTGTTTAATGAGCTGGTGTAGCTATAGGGTTGGTATTGGGTTGCTAACCTCAAGGTTAGCAGTTCAAACCCACTAGTCACTCCAAGGGAGAAAGATGAGGCTGCCTGCTCACATAAATATTTATAGTCTCAGAATCCCTATACAGAGTCACAAGTCAAAATTCATTTGATGGGAGTGGGTGGGTCATTGCTTGATATTGTTATTATACTAGGACTCTAGTGCTGTCGGTTAAGCATTGAGCTGCTAACCACGGGGTCAGAAGTTCAAACCCCGTGGCTCCGTAGGACAAAGATCAGATTGTCTGCTTCTCTAACAATTTACAGTCTTAGAAATCCAAGGGAGGATTTCTAATCTATACTATTAGGCCGCCTGGATTCAGAATTCATATGATAGGAATGAGTTTAGGTTAAGTTGTACAGTTAGTTCCTCCTGTCCTTTAATTCTTGTTCCACAAGATCCACGAATAAACATTCCTACCTAAAGTTGGATAATACAAATAGTTCCTAAGAACAACTGCTTGGCTATCCATGATTTTCAACTTGGTAGTCACCTATATATATGATTACGACACAGCTTCACATACCTTAACTCTATACATACACTTTGCTCTTTTTTTTCTACTTTGCTTTTAACAATGGCACTTTTATGTAAACATTATCCTTCGGCGCTTTTATTTGAAAACACATTCTAAAATGATTCTATTCCCATTACTACTGTACCTTGTAAAGCAGAGTGAACAGCACAATGTGTAAAGTTTTACAGTGCAAAAGTCTTATGAGACCTTTATAGCTGGGATGAAGGGCTGTCCTTTTCTTATAGGGGGGCCAGGGATTTCCAGGAAATTTCCCACTCTGTTTTAAGCTGAAAAAATAAAACAAAATAAAAAGTAGATGAGAGACTCAAATTCAATCATAATTTCAATAGTGATTTATAGGTATAAATGATTTTGTTGCATTTTTCTCCTCGATATGGGCTAGTCCCTGATATGCAACAATACTCGAGTTACACTGAACCACACTTATAATCATCTGTATTATTGCAAATTTTATTGTTATACATCATAATTAGTAATGTATAATACATATGAGGGTTTCATATGGTCCATGAAAAAAGGAAGTAGAATGTAATGGAATGTTTTCATGAACTTTTTGAAGTAGCCTCTACAATGTCACAGCATATAATTTGCTGATGGGTCATTCTCAGATATTCACTCACAGATGGACAAGACCAGATTTATAAAGATGATGATTAATAAAAGAGTTTAATAATGAAATGTTTTTTAAAAGAGGTATTAGACTCATGCCAGAATGGACTTACAATGGAGTCAGTAGAATAGGACCCTGTCATAAATCAAGTACTACTTGTGCTGTTTTTAATTGCTTAATAGCACCAAATAATAACTGTTCTCTTCACAATGAACACTACTATTTCTTTCCCTACTGAATAAAAATATACCAAGAATTAAGCTAAGAAAAAAACAGAAAGAATTGTGCATTTAGAAATTCTAATAATTCTCCCTTTGTATTCTGATTCCAACCATAGAAAAATCAGATAACTTCAAAAATCCTCCCTCTGTCAACAATTAAAAAGCTGGGTGAAATATGAAATATATTCTTTTAAGTTCATACCTGAACTCACAAAGAAAAAAAAAATTGGAGAAATTCTCCAAGACCAGAAGCCTAGAAGGAATTAACAGCAAGTAAACACACCACTGGTTTTTAAAGCTTTTGAGCAAAAAGATCTCAAGTCCTTGGGTTCCCATAGGGCTCAAGAGATGGAAATGAGATCCCACGTGGCTGAAAAACTTTACCTTCATTAAAAAAAAGGGCACAGAGAAGAAATGTGAAAACATTTCTGTTTCAGGTGAGGTCCAGGTAGTATGGCAGGGCAAGACAAAAACCAGGGATATATATAGTAACCAACTAAAAAGGGAGGGGGGGAGAAATGGGGAGTGGAGGAGCAGGGTACTAACCCACCCAAAGGGAGGGTACTGTTCATATATCTACAGGGAAAGAGGGACCAGATTTCAACCCAGTGCTCCAAGATGTGAATACAACATACCAGCATGGAGTAGGGAACCAGTAGAACCCCAATCCCAACTGCCCCTCCGCCAAGAAGAATTTACTTTAGAGGACAGCACTGAACCTGCCGCTCAGGGAGGGGAACATGTCTGATCAGAGCACACGGGAACAAATGAAGGGGAAGGAAGAGAGAGTGGAGCACATCCTGGCCAAACCAAGCCATGAGGACGATATCCCCACTCAGAGCAGCCAATAAATCCAGAGAAGACAACATGGCCGGCCCCACTGAGACATAACATCCCTCACTGACCCATAGCCCTACAGGGAACAACACTGGAGACACTGTGGGAATTGCGCCCGATCTGACCCCACCACACTGAGGCAAAAGACTAAGGGCGTGCAACAGAACAGCAAGGAGAACAGAGCAACAAAGTCCCCAGGGAATACCAAAAATAGACCATAGGGCCAGAGCGTGGCACCCCATCAGACTCGACCAGAAAACACTCCTAAAGAACAACACACAGTCCCTGAACTAACTACAGGCTTTTCTTTTTTCCTTTTTTTGGTCATTGGTTTGTTTGTTCTTGTTGTTTTGTTTTCTTTTGTTGCTTTATTTTGCTCTGTCTTGTTATTATCTCAACAGATCTGACTACATAAGATAGGCTAGATGAACAATCTGATAGAGAAAACAACAGGACTGATGGTTCCGGGAAGACATGGGAGAGGGGAAAGGAGGGGGAAAGGAAGTGGTGTTAACAAACCCAGGGTGCATAAGCAAAAGTGATGAAGAAAGCTGATGGTGTCTGGCTATCAAAAGATATACATCTAGGGTCTTAAAGGGTTGAAGATAAACAGGCGGCCATCTAGCTAATAAACAACAAAGCCCACACAGAAGAAGCACACCAGCCTGTGACATCACTAGGCATCGAAAGGATCAGGTTTCAGGCATCAAAGACACCCCCCCCAAAAAAAAATCATAGTATTGTGAAAGAGGGGGAGTGTGGAGTGGGGAGCCAGGGCCCATTTGCAGAAGGGCTGCGGGGAGGAGACGAGCCAGTCAGGGTGCAGTGTAGCAATGATAAAACGAACAATTTTCCTCTAGGTCTTGAATGCTTCCACCCCTCCACCCCCCATGATCCCAATTCTACCTTACAAATCCAGCTGGACCAGCAGATGTACACTGGCACAGATAGGAACTGGAAACACAGAGAATCCAGGACAGATGAACCCCTCAGGACCAATGGTATGAGTGGCGATACCGGGAGGGTGGAAGGAAAGTGATAGAGAAAGGGGGAACAGATTACAAGGATCTACATATAACCTCCTCCCTGGGGGA